ACTTTGAGTATGTTCAGGAGGCATATGTTGTGCTAAAATTTAAACATTTACCAATATTACAGTGAGTAAACTGCTCAGAGTGAGCTAAAGTGAGCCAAGTGGTGTCAAAATTAATTGTGGTGTAGGCAGGCTCATCCCGTGAACACTAGGCTACATCCAAAGACCCATTCCAACTTTCTGTCTAACATCTTGGTTCTCAGGTTTTGCACCCGAGAAGTCTCAGAGAAGTAGGTCATTTGCAGCTAAAAATTTTGGATGCAAAAGAGGAAACTTTACCAGCGAACTACCCTTAGCTCTTTACTGATTTAGGATAGCTATGAAAAAAACTTAAATGAGGCCTGGAAGTAGTCGCCACACAGTTTACAAAAAGCTGGACATTGTGGAGTCACACAGGTGACAAGTTCATCCAAGAGGTGCATAGAAGTTAGGGAAACTTATAGAATTCTTTAGTAAATGTCTGGAGCACATGCTAATGGTAGATGGAAATGGGGAATTTTCCAGAAACATACTATTGTTTAAAGTAACAATAACCTTATATTCAGAGTGAGCATGTAAATGGGAAACACTGGATATGAGAAATCATCCATACCTGAGAGTACGGACACTTGTCTGGGCTGTACAAGAAACAGATGCAGGAATTCCAGCACAATAGTGGTGGGGTGGGGTTGGGGGGAAGCATTATCTTAATCAATTGAAATAAACCAATAGAAAAATACCTGTGTGTCATCTTTGGTGCTGGAGTCCTTTTAAATACAAATCTCTCTAAAGCTAGGCAAACAGGTTTGTGTGGTTGGAAACTCAAAACAAAAGTGGAAAGAGAGCTGTCAACAGCAATGACTACTGAACAATTTAAAGTGAGAAGAAAGCAAGCAACAGACATTAAGACCTCAAATAAATTCCTGGAATCTCTTCTCTAGTAAAATGTTTTGGTTTGTAATTACAGGTCATGTGATGCAGTTACCATTTTCTTATAAATATTCACTCTTCATCTTGAGAGAAAACAATTTTCTCTCAATAAACCTCTGCTTATATTCAAGAAAATTGCACAGCAGCTATAGTGTCTATGCTTATAAAATATCTCAGTATAATCATTACTTAAACTTCATAATTCCTTAAGGAAAAACAACTCTAGTGTAATTCAAGACTGAAGTACAATTGTATTAAGAAATAAACTGGATTTGGGGCTAAGTTAATAATGATTATTTTTGTTTAGATTTGGAAATGATTTGCAAATCTCAGAAAAGTTATTTGTCCTGGATGCTGGAGCATCTGGGTCTAAAGATATGAAGCTTCTCCGAAATCACTTGCAAGAAATAAGAAGCCAGATAATTTCTGTAAGTAGTGTCTAAAAGTCTGGGTTGGATAAGCCAAAATGTGAACGTCTTGTGTAATAATCTACTGTAAATTTCAAATTTACGACAATGACGCATACAGAAACCACTGTTGTTCCAATGTTCTAACAGCACACTTGACAGGTCTTGTGATAAACAAAGCCTTATAATCAAAGATTGAGTCAGCATTTTGAAAATAGTATCTGTTTCAAGCAGATGACCAAAATACCCTCTGTTGAAAGGAAACAATTTGAGATATCAGTTTAAAGTCATAATTTTGTTTTTTGATTGGCAGTGATCAGATTCCAGCATTGGTCTCCCCTTTTGTTTTGTTTTGTTGTTTTTTTTTTTTTTAACTCAGCATAGTATTATAGAGAAACAGAGAAATATATTATAAATACATTTCAGGAAAATAAGGTTTTTCACCTTAAAAACACACCAGAGTATAACAGTTTTCTCAACTGTTAGAAAGATAATTCCAAATATGGATCTGTAAACTGAATATGAATTAAGTTTTGACTGCATTTTTTAATTGAAAAATATTGCTTGAAGCTGTATCTGTATGTGTAGGTATATGAATATGAGACTAAAGGTAAAGTGTAGCCATGGTTTGATGTTATCACCATGAATCCATGGAGAGTTCCATAATAAGGGTGACCAAGTGAAATATTTTATAGCCTGTGCTAAATGGATTAATATCCTGTTACACACCAACAAGATTTTTTTTCAGCAACTTTTGAAATGTATTTTTTTGTAATTGATTAAAAGTGGATATATTACTGAGTTAATTCTCTGTGTTGAGGAAAATATTTAGAGTCATGCAAAATGCCTATTTTACATTCCTGATGGTCTCTTGATTGTGTAAGCTTTTCTTCTCTATGAAAGCTTTACTATAGCTATAGTCACTAGCTTAAAATCTGAAGGGGTTTACTGTATAAGAAGGGGAGGCTGTGGCTTGAGAATGAGCAAGAAGGCATCAGTGAAGTCTAAGGCAACCAACAAAGTACCATTTTTGCTTCTTATTTACTACCTTGCTATCCCACCTTTTGAAGTAAATTGGTCCTGTAAAGATACTGATGAGTACAGATTCTAAATAAATTCTCATCGTTTCAGAAATAAGCATTGACTTACAAATGCATGATGGCAACACATGGTGATATTTGGAAATTTTGCTTATTTCAGTGAAAAACTAGTTTCTGCAACTCACTTTTTTAAGAAAAAGTAGATAGATCTTATGGCAAGTGAATGCCAGATGGAAGAATAAGGGTTCAGCAAAAAGGGAGCTCTTTAGATCTGAATATTCATTATAAATGCATTAGCCTCCATATTAAAAAAAATTGTACCACTATTCTCAAGGGGATGTTTTCTGTGCATTTCTAAGACTTGTCCACCTATGACTCACCTGTGTGAAAAAATAATCTCCACACTGCCTTCCTGGAGAAAAATTAATGGGCCCAACCAGCTGATGTCCTTGCAGCAGTTTGTGTATGATGTACAGGAACATCTTAATCCCTTAGCAAGCGAAAATGATGTACGGCATATTGCACAGCAGTTGCATAGCACAGGAGAAGTAAGTATTTTTATCTAAATTCCATTTCTTTCTTTGCAAGATACTGTTCTGGTAGAACATTTCTTTTATGAGTTTAAGCAAATGTTTAAAGTTGTTTGGTTTTTTTCTCTTCCTCTTAAGACATCATAAGTAAAGAATGCTTATTAACACTTTCTGTTATCATTATGTCTTGTGGCTTCTATTTTGTTAATGTAATCTCTTTGAGACAGGAAGAATTACAGTTTATTGCTACAGTTGTGAGAATATAAAATACTCAGAAAGGAGTTATATTATCACCTTCAATGGAGTGTTCACTGCATATGAAAGATTTATATGTGTCCACTAGAAATTGAGTAGTAGGATAACACCTTTGCAAAAACAGCTTGCAGAGCATGACTAGGCTTCCAGCTGTTGAGCTCAAATAATGTCATTACTAGTGGAAAATAACAACAAGATCTTTTTTTTTTTTTTTTTTTTTTTTTTTTTTTCTGAGTACTTGCCATATATTTAAATGCACTGTTTTTTTCCTGTGAGCAGTATTAATCAAATTGTTGGGTCAGTCTGTTAGGAAGGCAAGAACGTGGGCTATCAGCTTGTACTTCACAAGATGTAAACAGTAATTTTCATATTTATAAACAGATTAACATTATGCAGAGTGAAACCGTCCAAGATGTTGTGCTTCTGGATCCTCGCTGGCTCTGTTCTAATGTCCTTGGAAAAATCTTGTCAGTGGAGAACCCAAAAGCCCTCCATCACTATAGAGGTCGGTACACCATAGAGGACATCCAGCGTCTGGTGACAGATAGTGACGTGGAAGAACTGATACAGATTTTGGATGCCATGGATATTTGTGCAAGGGACCTTAGCAGTGGAGCAATGGTGGATATTCCTGCTCTCATAAAGACTGACAATCTTCACAGGTCTTGGACAGATGAGGAGGATGAAGTGCTGATCTATGGTGGTGTTAGAATCGTTCCTGTGGAACATCTTACCCCATTTCCTTGTGGAATTTTTCATAAAGTTCAGGTGAATCTCTGCAGGTGGATTCATCAGCAGAGCACAGAGGGAGATGCTGATATACGTCTGTGGGTAAATGGATCAAAGATTATGAATCGTGGAGCCGAGCTTTTAGTGCTGCTGGTTAACCATGGGCAGGGTATAGAGGTTCAAGTTAGAGGACTGGAAACAGAGAAGATCAAGTGCTGCTTACTTCTGGATTCTGTGTGCAGCACTATTGATAACTTAATAGCAACAACCTTACCTGGTCTTCTGACCGGGAAATATTACCTTAGTCCTCAGCAGCTGAGGGAACACCATGAACCAGTAATGGTCTACCAGCCTAGAGACTTTTTCCGTGCACAGAGTCAAAAGGAGACATCACTAACTAACACTATGGGGGGATATAAAGAGAGCTTTAGCAGTATACTGTGTTTTGGGTGTCTTGATGTTTACTCCCAGGGAAGCCTAGGAATGGATATTCATGTTTCTGATCTGAATCTACTTACCAGGAGAAAACTGAGTCGACTTTTGGATCCACCTGATCCAATGGGCAAAGACTGGTGCCTTCTTGCCATGAACTTGGGCCTCCCTGACCTTGTTGCAAAGTATAATACAAATAATGGAACACAAAATTACTTTCTCTCAAGCCCAGTTCATGCCCTTCTGCAGGAATGGAGTAATGCACCTGACAGCACTGTAGGCATACTAATGTCTAAGCTGAGGGAATTAGGTCGCAGAGATGCAGCAGATTTCTTACTGAAGGCATCTTCTGTATTCAAAATTAATTTAGATGCTAATGGTCAAGAGGCTTATGCCTCCAGTTGCAACAGTGGCACATCTTACAACTCAATTAGTTCTGTAGTGTCACGGTAAGAGGAGGTGTTTTGCATGGACGTCTTTCAAAGTGCAGAAAGGATAAAAGATACAGTATAAAAGTTACAGTGCATACTAATTTATGAGCTTTTGCATCAGAGGATCCTTCTCTGGCGCCACCTTTTTTGTGCATAAACTTTCTACTCCTAACTGTGAGTTGTTGCTTTTTATTAAAAAGACTGGTGTACTTCTGGTGGTTTGAAACTATTTCTGATTGAGAATGTGCTGCTTAATACTGCCATTTCAACTGGAAAGTCTTAACTTTTGGATTACGTACTGCAACTGTTTTATATAATTCTCCATATAAGAGCTAGGGGGAGAGAAATAGCACATAGTACCTTATATGTCTGTTTCTTACACTCTTTTTTTTTTTCCTTTTCACTGTGTCCTCTGCTTAACATCTTTTTATATTTGTACAAGAGAAATCCACCATTTGCGGTCAATCTGACCAAACTTAAGTGCATCGTTTTTAGCTGAAAAAGTGAGTGCCTTTTGCAGGAGGGAGGGTGCAGTTGATTTGATTGACCCTGCTGGAGTTACAAGAACATGCTACCTCTGTTTCACTCAAATTGTCTGCATGCTTATCATTGCAAGTGGTGCTTGCCTGTTAATTTTTCCTGCACTTCTAAGTCATTGGTGATGACTCATGCAGAGCATTCTTGTGCCAGTACTATAGGTATAGGTGTGACACCTAATCAACTTCAATTACAGTAAAATCATAATGTGAAAATCTCTTAAACTTGCCAATTATCATGCTTCGTTATTTCCATGCACCTCAGGTAAAAGTTCATATCATTATAATAGAGTTAAAAAAATACAAGTGTTGGATACTGCAGAATAATATTGTCTAGCTGTCAGTTGTAATTTGTGTATAACAAAGGTTTTCTACTATTAGAGATCCTGCATTACTTACTTCCTGTACTTGAAAACTTTGATGGGGATAAAAAAAAGGAAGCAAGGTTTCTTGCAGTGACAACTTTTAAATTGATATGAGGGAATAATATCCATTCTCTGTTCTAAAAAGCATGTAATTTTCATGGTGCGATATGTGTTTGTTTATATATATTGTATGTATATACATTAAGACTATTTTTTCCTTAATCTTACATTGTAGTAAATTTTAAAGGATTTTTCTACAAATAAACTGTTGCTTGTTGCATCCTTGTTGATCACATTCTCTTGCTGAAGGGTATCAAAACTTCTCTTTTCTTTGCAGTTAGAACTGAAGAGAGGCAATGCCTTCCTTCTGAAGTTCTTGGAACCTCCCCCTTCAGGGGAATTTCTTAGTATGCTTCAGGAATATTTATGGGGTTTTTCTTTAATTGCAGATATGGCCCCTGTACAGCAGAGGAATCTGCATTCATTTTAACAAATGGCAAGCCAAAGCAGTTCGCTACATAGCTTTTCCTTTGTGGTTTTTCATAATGGAAAACAAAACAGCAAATGTGAGTCTGTCATCAATTCTCCAGATAATGCTGTGCTGCAGAGAGAGAGGACACTGCATTAGAACTTGTGCTGCAATACATTTATTTACATTATTTACATTAAATATCCCCTCATCACACAAGGGACTCTGCTGGCACTGCTTATTTAAAATCTCAGCATTACTCCCAGATAGCTGCACAGTCTTGGTATGGCACACTCTGTAGGCAGCACAATGCCTCTGCCCTGTGTATGTTGCAAAGGATTTAAGCCAGATCTTCTTAAAATGCTAGTTGCTTGGTCTCCCTTCCTTTCTTTGCTTATTTTACCCTTGCTTAATTCAATCTTTCCCCAGGTCCCAGCTACTGCTGGGCTCCATAGTTAACTATTACTTTAAAGTCTAGCCCTCAATAAGGAAATACGGTTTATGAGCAGTCCTACCCTGAGCTGTCTGTGTTTTGATGTTCTGCTTCTGACAAACTGCATTCAGCATCTCCCACCCCTGCTCTAAGTGGCCCAGTGCAGAGCCCAGCTCTACACAGCCTAGATTCACATCTGTCAATTAATGGCCACTACCATATTTCAGTTTTCAGCTGTGGACATGTTTAGTACTTCTGTCAGATTCTGATAAGTGGAGGGGTCTTTCTCATGTCATAAAACTTCCTAGGTTTATACCAGAAAAGGTTTCCTCACCTGCCCACTTCCCTAGACACTTTATGCACACTTGAGATGTGTAGTCAACTTACCAACACTGATTAACACTCCTTTTGGTTTCTTTTTGTTTTTTCTTTCCCAGCAGCATGTTTCTCATAGATCCTTGCTTCCATTTACTGTAAAATGCAGACCTGGGAATATGAATTACTTAGTGGACTCTATGATGAACCTTTGACTAGCATGCAGCCTATTGCATCATTTACAGTTTTCATGGTAATACGCTCAGGAAAGTGAATCACAGTCACAGGATAGCTTTGGATTCCTTTCTTATAAATCCTACGCTATTGGTCAAAAAAATTAAAAAATTGTTTCCTAGATGACAGTTTGGGGATAAAAAAAAAGGCTAGCCAAATGTTACAAGTGAGCATCCCTTCTGTTGCTTCACTTTTATTAATTGTTTTGTTTTTTGTCAATGCGACTAGGAGCAGAGCTTCATTCTACAGTTTTTAGAACTGGGTTTAAGTTTCTGACTCACTGCAGAAATTGAGAAAATGCAGGTCTTTGTAAGGTCAAAAAAGTTGAGTCATAAGTGTACGGAATGTATAGTACATGCAAGGAACATGATGCACTTAGCTCCTGACAGTGAAATAACTGAAGCTGGATAGTAACCATCTTTGTAGCTTCAGAAAAGAGCTGATGAAACATAATCTTGAGGATAAACCAATGAGTGATAATTTTCATTTTGTTTTTAAAATCCATAGTATAGACAAAGTCTGAAGTTTGCCACTCAAAGCCAAGATGCATTACAGATAATCTTGCAGTTTAGAGAAGTATTCTACTGGCACCCAGACTCAAATCTTGAATAAATTTTCTGAAGAAGATAGGGAAGAAGCAAACACTTTGGTGCAGGCCATTTTTTCAATTATTTCTCCCCAGCATGCAGCAGCATGCATCAAATAAAAGATGTGCTTCATATGGCTATTTTTATTGGGTGTTATTGGTTGTACTATTTTTGGAAGTTTTGTTTTTGACCTAACTGCTGAGTTTAGAAAGCCACAAGAGATCAGTGGTTACATGCACATGATTTTAAGGCAGGCCAAGGGCATCCAGAGACGGCCTCAGGTGGAGGTGGATATACATGATTTTTCTCACTTTAAAAGGTTGAGGAGACAAGTGTAAGATGAAGAGAATCACAGGTTTTAGGACCTTTGGGATCCCAGAGATTGAAAAAGTTATGAAACTACAAGGGTATAGAAACTCCCAAATGTCACATGCTTGACAGAGCCAGGAGGGTTAGGAAGGAGCCAGTTTCCTAAATGGTCAGTTCTTTATAGAGAGCAACAGTGAAGTTTTCAGAGCTGGATGTGCTGGAGCCAGTTCTGGGTCCTAAACCTCTGTTGGCTGTGTTCCTCCCTCAAAGGAGAAGTCCCCTCCCCAATTCATTGCAAACTTTTTATTGCAGAGAAGAGATGCTATGTTGCAGCATCATTGTTTAAAACAGGTGCCTCGATTTGAATTGCATCTCTATTTCAGCTTTGACAATGAAATGTAGGAGTAATGCTCGAATTGTAACTCCAAAGAAAGTAAATGAAGCATGCTGTTGGCTAAGTCAGAGGAGATGGAGCATTACAGTATCTCTGAAGCTAACCAAAAAGCACTCTGTATAATATTGAAATTTATTTCTATTTGATGTTTTATTTGTTAAACTCAGTCCACTGTGTCAAAAAAAAAAAAAAAAAAAAAGAAAAAAATTCACTCACTTCTTTTCAGGCATTGTCTGACTCACAAGACAAGGCAGTGGGTGGAAAAGAGAAAGAATATCGGTTTTCAACAATGCCTAAGTTTTCCAAAAGGGTTACAGCCATGCCATTCAGACTTTGCATGTAGAAGTACTTGAGTTTTCAAAAGTCAGATTTGCAGTATATAGAAGGGAACAGACAGATTCCTCTGTATGGCAACACCATTTATCATAACAAGCTTTACAGGAGCAGTGAGACCAGCAGCTATGCTGCCTCAAAGCCAGCTGAGGATCTTGGTGGACCGGGTTCAGTTTTGCATTAACCAAACTGACCTAGCGTTTCTGCACCAGCCAGACTACTTTGGGTGAGGTCCAAATCCAACACATGCATATTTAAAGACAGTTTTTCAGAAAGCAGTTAAGTTGCTGAGTCAGTTGGATATATCTTAAAATTCACTGGCCTGCCCTGAGACAAGGCAAACCTGGACCGCCTTGCCCAAACTCTGGCTCCTGCTGTCACCAAACCTAGGACACCTGCTGCAATAGTCTAGGCATATCTGGTGGCTCTGTGTCCAGGCTCATGAACACACACTGCTGTATCTGCACAGGACTCGGAGTGCAGCTTGGTGAGGTATGTTCCCTATGGATTCAGGCACAGTCACAGCTGAGTGTAACACACCTGGAGACTGTGGATATGTGGACTGGAAGTACATGTGTTATTTTGAAGTCAACTGGAAGTATTTGTGTATATCTGGACTATATGTGTTGGAAGTATAGTCAAGATGCTTCTACTTCACCTCAGCAACTGAAGCTGGAGGGCTGGGGGAGAGGGTTGGAGTCTGCCTGAGTAAGGACTGAGTGAGACACCAGCATGTGGTGCACGAGGAGGGGAGGATGAAGTTGTACTTTTCAAAACTACTGTCAGAGAAACGTGGGAGAGACGGGAAGGCTCTTGCATTAGAGGGGCTAGACTGCTGATGTTAGAAGACAGCATGTGTATGACTCTTTGAGTCATCTTGTGCTTCACTTTTTGAGCTGCTCATTGCATTGCAAAATCAACATTTTTAGCTTGGCCACAAAGAAGTATAGTTTGGCTAGTCCATTTCCCACACAAGATGAATCAGCTTCACTTTCAGGCCCCCTACACAGGACTTATTAAAAGTCAAAACAGATGTGGCAATCAGCTAAGCAAAAGGAGTGAAGAGAGGAGGTTAGCAGGGAATCCCACTATCACTAAATTTACCTACAAAGCACCATAACTTTTAATCATTTTTACATCTTTCTATTGGCTGCAAATATGAGAAAAAAGTACTCTGCAGAGTGCTGAGTGCAATCACTTACTGCTAAGCCAGAATTTTTGTTACTGGAAAAACAACAGGTACAAGTCTGGAATTTTTTGCCAAAGGCAATGCGTCAGTGCATATGAAAATCAGTGAAGGTCCAGATGAGTTGTAGGACAGAAACATATCCTACTCTCCTAAGCCTAAAGTATCGATTATTTCATCATTCCTAAGGTATGTATCTGCAGAAGAAGCAGGAAAGATATTTCTTTAGATCTGTTTCCCAATAACACCTGATAGCTAGGATTAGACTCAGACTAAGAAATTAACCACCATCCTCTACAACTAGAACACTTCAAATAAGAATTTTCTACAGATCCCTGGGGATTGTGTTGGCAGCTAGAGAATGTTGTAACAATTACCCTGGAAAACATGGAAGGAGGTGAGTCACCACAACCAAATTTACATCAGATAGGATGGGCTAAATTTCCTCGGTTGCTCACAGACAGAAGGAAATATCACTTACAGCTGATAGACCTGGTAGTCAGGTACCAGTACAGGTTGCAGAGGAATCTTAAGACATCATCTGCAGTATCAATCTGCTTATAGAGACTCAGAAAGGAGCTGCATGAATGTTTAAACTGATGGATTAACAGTTTCCATGTAGGCTTCAAGAGCTGAATCAAGGCACAAAGCTTGCAAATGCTACTGGCAAGAGGGAGATTCCAGGCCTTTTTATTACAGGTAATAACATCTGCCTGAGAAGTGTTTTGCAAATCACTTACTGCTGCCATCCCAGGAAAATACAGAAAGGAACCTAATCTGGTGCCAATTTGGGTCTACAGGACAGATATGAATAGATAAGTACAAAGCTACCATGTGACTTCCCAGTTGCCATTTATTCTCCAAGACATACATGTTGGTTTGTACTTAGCAAAATAGGGAGAATATTTTTCAGCAGAAGGTGAAGGAGCGTTACAAGACGAACAACCTCCCCAGCTGTGACTTAGTACCATGCAGTTGTCCTGTTTCTTACTATCATGGCTAGGAAAGCTCTACAGAACTCCCACAGTCACCAGAGAAAAGCATGCCTGAGAGACATTCTGCCTTGTTTTTTACATTCATCTTCAGTAAGGATGTTCAGTTATTTAAGCATTCAGTCTTCAGTGCTAGCAGAGTATTTTCACAATTCCCTTATCAGACCCACCTTTCTGCTTTAAATTGCTCACTGCAGGAAAGAGCTCTACGTCACACATGTGAAACACTGTCTGTGGCACCAGGTGAGACAGGCATGGCAGCACAGAAGGAGAGCACAGGTCAAAGCGAGTGCACGGGTGCTTGATAGATAAACGTGATGGTCCCAAGGGCCTCTCTACCATCAGTGCCCAACTCCAGCAAAATTCAGCTGCACAGTGTGGATGTGATCTCCGAACCTGTAAATACCAAAATATGGCATACGCTGAGGAGAATAAAGGTGCAACTGTTCTATGTTTTTCTTTATGATGTGCTAGACTTAAAGAATCTTTCACATTTCACCAGTGAGCTCAGGAGCAGACTTCATAATCACAAAGGGATCTCACTAAACTCAAGTTTGATGTTTGTGTGTAGTTTTACTACTGCATTAAGCACGAAGGGGAAAATTCCTACCTCTTTCAGAGTTCATTGGACTACACCTTCTCATTTCCAGAAGTTAAGCCAATTTATAGAAAATTGCTGGAAAACACTTGTTTTCAGCAAATATTTATCATCATAATCTCTGATGTACATTGTTTTTAATGTGTTTCAATGAAAGCTCTAAAAGAAAAGTTTTCTCCAATGGAAAAACATTGTCCATTATCTCCTAAAAGAGACTTTTCTGCCAACTGTTACTTTGACCGATAAGAGAACTAATATGTAAACTGTTTCTGTTGTTAGAAGAATTAGTTTTAAAATCTGGTATTAAAAAACTCCTTTAATCTACTATCAATCTGAAGCCACAACTCCTTGTTATACATCTACATAGTGATACCACAGCGGAGTCATGGCTTCAGTGTGCCTTTGCGTAACAGACAGAAGCTGTGGTGGTTTAACACCAGCAGGAAATTAAACCCAAATAATCCGCTCCCCTTACCCCTAAAGCTTCCAGTAAGAGAAGGACTAAGGCAGAGGCCATGGGCTGAGATAACCATTTCCTGAATGCAAAAAACAATGGAGTAAGAAACACACAATAACAACAAAATCAATACCAAAAGTATACCAAGACAGAAGATGTTTTACCTACAGAAATGTATTCACCCTCAAGAACAAAAACAAGGTGCTCCCCACAGGTCACACCCACATGGCTTCCCAGACAAAGGCACTATGGCAACCTTCCCATGCCCTGCACCAGTCCAGAACAAGG